GAGCCATCTCAGTCATTGCAAAAGAGAACTCGAAAAGGAGTCACTCCTTCGAGGAGACATCCAGCTGCCACAGCAGCTGCCCCACCAGAGGGACTTCCAGAAAGACTTGAGAAAATCTGAGAAAAAGACCAGAGAAAATCTCCTGGAGACTCACCAGTAGAGTCTCAGCAGGAAACACACCAGATATGGACCACAATATCAAAGTGGAAGAGAATTCCTCAAGGATGCAGGTGGAATCTTTAAATTAGGTAGGAGAACGGTCATGCCCTTGGGGGTACCAGCAAGCACAAAGGTTGTTTATGGAATCACATATTTCTTAGATGCTTTCTGGGTGCTGGGTATTGAGTTAGGAGGTGGAATATCTGAGAAAAGAGAGACACAGGCCCTGGTCTCAAAGAACTCATGAGCCAGAATCTGGACATCTCTGTGGACTGATTGCTGGACCCTCCTGAACCCCCTGCCAATACCCAAGTTGCAAGCTTCCTCCCAATAGCCTTGGTGACATAGTCATTTTCAGTGCTGGATTTGACGGGATAAGGGCTCAGGTAGGTGTACCCAGGAGGACTGCTTTTTTTAGGATGGTCAGTGAGCCCAGACCCCATAGGTACAGTAGCTGGACTCAGCCTTCAAATGGGCTTCATGAAGGGCCCCCAGGGAGGTGGAAATACAGAAACCTCAGCTTCCTCTTCGAAGCTCTGACAGTCCAGCAGAAGCTGGAGACATAAAACTGGGCTCTGAGAATACTTTCCTATGAATTGTGAGGTCTTAAACAGCATCTCTTAGGACACACTGGGAGAGATGGGATACCTGTTTACTTAGAAGACTCGGAGGAATAGACAGCATGAAAGGTATTCTTTTGGATAAGAAAGGGCTGTGCTAAGGTAAGTGCTTGAACATCTCGAGAAGGCAAAGAGAAGACAAGACACAGAATCACAAGTGGGGGCTGTGTCTGAGGGACCCTGGGGACCACTGCCAGCCCTCCAGTGCCTGGAGCAGCAGGTTAAAACGGGGGATTCGGCAAGGGGCCATTGCAACATTTGTGTAGCTCCAGGTGGCATTTCTGTAGGAGAAAGTGAGATGGGCTTTTTGTCCTGAAAAGACCAAGGCAACACCTGGACCCTTCAAAATAGGTATGTACAGTGAAGGGGGTGTATCTCTATAAAGCTAGTACACCTTCTGCTTGAACTCCTGGGAGCTCTAAGTTCATGAAGGGAGCCAAAAAGACATACAACCCGTACTAACAGGTGAAATGTGACTTCTCACATTCTACGGCAATGTCAAGAGGTGGCCTGAGAAGTCTTACTTTCTCTCTATTCTGGAAAGGGACAACTGACACTTTTGCCTTCTGATGTAACGTGCCAAGCAGACACCTTCTGAGAAAGACCCTGCCACCCTCTCCCCACCATGAGATCACTCCCAGCTTCTGTATATCTGGATACATAAGCCACTATTATACAATGGTGGTTAACACTTCTTTATTTTGTTTCCACATAAAGGCAGTGAAAGCTGGGACCTTATGTTAAGTGAAATAAGTGAGAGAGAGAAAGACAAATATCATATGATCTCAGTTATATGGGGAATATATATATATATATATACACACAAACTAAACCAAAACACATAGATACAGAGAACAGAATAAAGGTTACTGGAGGGGAAGTGGGGTGGGGGCAGGTAGTGAAATGGGAGCAGGGGGTCAACTGTATGGAGATGGATGGAAGCCAGCCTTTTGGTGGTGAGCTCACTGCAGTGTATACAGAAGTCAAAATATAATCTTTTATGCATGGAACTTATATAATGTTATAAACCAATGTCAGCTTATTGCAGGGAGCACCATATGAGTTGTGATAGAGGAAACTAGGAGTTTGCAGAAATGTGCAGAACAAACAGATCGTGCAGGAAAGAAGATGTAGTGAAGCCATCAAGGTTGCCCACCGTGTCCGGCCCGGGTCCGCCCTCCTTCAAGGCTTTAATGGGTGTGAGTATAACAACAATGCCCTTGATTGAGTCATGACCTGCCCATACAGAGTGGCACCAAGGATGAACGAGGCTCTGTCTTTGGAGCCTTTGCTCGGGTGCAGGGCATCTTTTCTTCCAAGGAACTCCCATCCTGTCCACATGTATGTAAAATAAGCCACATTTTGCAGACACTTAGTGGGGTGAGATGAAGCTCTGCCCGCTAAGGGTCTCCAGCTTCAGTTCGAGCTCAGCCGCAGCCCAATGACAGCTCTCATCTCCAAATAATCAGTCACTGAGAAAGTAGCACCCCGTGAGCCCCAAGGTGATTAGTTACCACGTGGCGTGTCTCTCGTCAGCTTGAATCTGGGTAGCTAATCCCGACCAGGGATCTGGGAAAAGCTGCACGTCTAAATTACTCTGATCCACAGGTAGATTCTGATTATCCTGCTCCTCTCCATCTTGATCCATCTTCTGTTTCCATAGCAGCTAAAACCCCAGGAAAATGGATGCCTCTGGCCAGGGCTCAGGTAAAGTCCCCTGGGGAAATGAGGCAGCTGGATGGCCGGGGTGGGGGAAGGATGCTAGCACACAGCGGTGCAAACCTCAGCAGGAAGATGGGAGAGGGTGCCAACGCAGCGGGGAGACAAAAGTGATTATGAGGGAAGAGAGAGAAAAGGAGATGACAATGTGGGATGAAATGAGATGGAAGGGGAACGTGTGGGAGGCTGTGAGAGAGAGGACAGCAGAGAACAAAAAGAGAAAGCATGAAAGGGCAGGACAAGAAGAGGAGACGTACGGAGCAGAAGGGAAGAAAGGAAAGAAAAGGAAAGGCAGAAAAGGAACCCAGAAAAGGACAAAGAGCTGCAGAGTCAGAGGAGGGATGAGAAAAGACATCAAACAGGAGTCAGAGCGGGACTTGCAGGATGGAGGGCCAGGTGCCTCCTGACAGAAGCAAAGTCCATGATGCTGAGATGATGAATGCTCTGTGGATTCTAAAGGCACGGACTGTCCCAGCATCCAGCGGCAGTGAGGACCAGACATTTGCAGGGATGAATGGTGCGCACCTTGAACCAGAAAGTCTGTCCACCTGAACATCCTTCCCTGGGATGTGGCCCGGGACCACTTTTCATCACTAGCGATCTCATGCACAGTGGAACCTCTTCCCAGATTGTGGGTCAGTCCACCTGAAAGGTCAGTTCCAGTTGAGAGACTGGCAGAAATGTAAGCATCTCTCTGATTCCCTTGCTCACAGTGGTGCCTTCAAGTATGGTGGCTACAGAGAGTTCTCAGGGTTTCAGCTAAACACATTGAAAATCTCACCCCTTCTGTGAAAATGTCCTTAGGGCGACTTGTCACCCCAAGAGAGGGAATGTGCTATCTGGGGCCCATGCCGTCTTCTTCAACCGATTACATTGAATCCCAGGTGTAGTGGACCCTGCAATGCCCCACTTTCTTCAGGAACAGAGGACACCTGCCCCGGGGTGGACCAGACAGTCCTCAGCTCCAGCAGGAACAGAGATACCTGGCCTGGGGTCACAGCCCAAATTCTGTGACCAACTACGGTGCTGGCGTGAAAGGTCACCCCCATAACTTCAGTAGAGGATATATATATATATATATATATATATATATATCAGATTCTTTTCCATTATAGGTTATCACAAGATATTAAGTACAGTTCCTTGTGCTTTACAATAGGCCCTTGTTTATCTATTTTACAATAGTGGGTATCTGTCCTTTAGCATCTTAAACCTTCATTGAGTCAACAGTGCACTTACATACACACATGCCTACCTACAAACACACTCATATATACCTACATACTTACATATATGTACTTTAGGCTAGCCATATACAAGCAAAGAATTTTAAGGATTTTTATTGAGATCTTGGCTCAAATGTCACCATGTCAAATGCCTTTCCTGACCAAACCTCTTGTCCTTTTATCAATGTATCCTGTTCTATTTTCCCATCCTTATCACTGCTTATTATTATTATTAATAATACTGGTTATTTGTATCATGGGGATGTGAGCTCATGAGAGCAGAGACTTGCCTGTTCTGGCTTATCACTATATGCTCAAACACTCAGTTGATATTTAAGAACAAATGAAACCATGTAATGTACATTGCATAAAAGCTAGCTTTATAATAAATGATGCCCATGCTCAGTCACTTAAGTTATGTCCGACTCTTTGTGACCCGATGGATTGTAGCCTGCCAGGCTTCTCTGTCCATGGGATTCTCCGGGCAAGAATACTGGAGTGGGTAGCCATGCCCTGCTCCAGGGGATCTTCCTGACCCAGGGGTTGAACCCTCATCTCCTGTATCTCCTGCATTCCAGGTGGATTCTTCACTGCCGAGTCACTGGTGAAGCCCTTAATAAATGGCATCTTGCCTTAAATTGTTAAAGTTTCAGGTTCAATCTATGCGAGCACAAAACAAGACTTAGTCTGGTCTACAAAACATCTAGACATTTAGACAAAGTGAGTTTTGCAATTTGGTCACACAGTAAGTAATATTTGTTATCTAGGATTAATCAGAGTAGAACAACAACAAAACCACACAAGGACTGAAGGCCTAGCGACCAGATCCTTGGCAATGTTGAAGCAGTACAGACCTGGAAATGTTCCTTTTAGGAACATGGCCATGCAAAGCTCTCATCCATCACTGTGTGTCTGTGTTTTCTCTCTTACCACAGCCAGCTGAACAATGTCACCAATACCGAACTTAGCACTCTACCATCCAATGTGACCAGAGAAGTCAGCCAGGACATCCTACCACCATTTCACCCAGAAACAAGGGAGGTTAATCTCCCAGGGATTGCATCAATCCCCCAGTGTGATTTCTGGAACCTTAGCAGTTATGCCCGTCTTGCATCGAGAACACCGATATTCTCTGCGGAGCTACAAGTATATTGTTATCAGACCACCAAGAATGTGGGATCCTTGTGACAAAGCCACCAGCACCATAACCTCCTGCCAGAGCCAACGATTCTACCACTTCCTCGCATGACATGATGGACCAAGCCGCTTCTCTTACCTTTGGGGGAGATGTGTCTCCAGGTAACTGTGGGCTCCGGTCTACCCGTTGCTATGCAGGTGAGGCTGATGTTGTTGCCTTCGTTAATGGAGATATCTGAAGAAATCTCCACAATTTTGGGAGATACTGTGGAGATGAAACAGGCAGAAGGAAAATTAAAATTTTGCTGAAGTATTTCTTTGTTGTCTTCAAAGGGGAGTGGGCAGAATAACCCAGGGACAGAAACGCAGGAGCTACAGTTAATGAGGAGGAACTAGAGGGATCACATTACGTGTGAGAGAAACATCTCACCTTGACTTCACCTTCTATTTCCTCCTATTTAAAGGCAATGTTGGAGAGCCTGGGAATGTGGCTCAGATGGTAAGGAATCTACCTGCAATGCAGGAGACATAGGTTTGATCCCTGGGTTAGGAGATACACTGAAGAAGGGAATGGCAACCCATTCTAGTATTCTTGCCTGAAGAATTCCATGGACAAAGGAGTCTGCCTGCCCATAGTTCATGGGGTTGCAAAGAGTTGGACACAACTGAGCCACAAACACTTTTACTATGTATTTTCATAGTAAAAATACAACAAATATTTATAGGATGGAATTATAACAGTTGTTCAAGGGAACCATTTCCCCAACTAGCTACATGTTTACAACAACCTCAAAACCATGCCATTAACACGTATCATTTCAGTTCTACCAACATTGGTTCTGACACACTAGTGCTTCAAGTTTGCATGGCCTCTCTGTCCGATTCTCAAAGGTGTCTTCACATCAGTTTTCCTCCTTCAATCAGCACACCTCTGAGCCACCCCCAAGTGTCTTTCCAGAATCCATGATCCCCCAAGACACGGTGTCACCTGACCTGCAGGAGACCCCAGGTAAGCTGACCATGACCCGTACTTCCCAGACGAGGCTAAGACCCCAATGCAACCCTCACACAAAAATAAGACTGGTTGGAACTTTCTGCACTTGTCTTTTCTCTTCTGGAACTATTCATCACTCACTCCTGGTTATGCTGGATTTTCTCCTCCAGAAACGGGGGTGTCTGCAGATAGCTGTTCTTTGCCATTTTCCCTCCTTCTCCTGAAAACTGACTTGCCATCCATCTCTAAGCCCCACCCAACCAGGAATGCTCATTAACAAGCATACACCGGACTCTGTTTCCTGAGCCTCAAGCCCCTGCTTCTGATTTTGGTCCCCAGCACCTTTCTCCAACTGTCTAGACTGACTGGAATCGTTCAAGGCCTGGCTGAGCCAGCATCCCTTCCAGGAGGTCTTCTAGGCCATGTCCAAGAGCACTGCCTCTCCATCCTGGAGACCGTGTAGCTTCCTCCACAGTATTAAAATAAGCTGGTTTACATAACGTGTCATTTTTTTCCTTGACTATACATGATTATACTGGAAGACACTGCACAAGAGCCTTGCTCATCATTTTATTTTCTGCTGTCTCCAATACAGCTCCTTGCATAAAGCAAGCATCAATTCATCATTTTTAGACTTAAATCCACATGGAGCTTCAGGTAGAAGCAGTGTGAAGGTGGATGTAGCCAGGGCTGGAGAATGACCCCAGCCTCTAAGATCTGAAACTTATAAGACATATCATTTTGATTTATGGCTGTATCATTATAAAAGCTAAATTGAAACTTCCAGAAGAGAAAGAAACTTGATGAGTTAATGACTGAACACTTGATTTGCTGACCGTCTGAAGGATCCCAATTTCTAAGCTCTCTAAGTCATTTAAATCTGATGCGTTTTATACACACAGTTTTAACTGGGACTTGTAATTCTTGAAGCCCCAGCCCTGATCCTGCCCCCACTTGGCAATCGCACAGCCTTGCCTGTTTCTTAGAGGACAGGCTGCTGCAGAATGACGGTGCTGGCCTTGCAGACATCGCTTCAACTCTGCAGGTAAGTAATTTATTGATCTGTAAAGCACTCTGAGATGCTCTGCAAGGGATTATGTCACGCCAACGCCACGCAATAAAATAAAAAATGATGGACTTTGTGAACACAGGGTGATTTAGGGTTTGTAGTTGGAAGTGTGCTCAAAGTACATTTTAAGTGGAAATCAGGCTGGGTAATGAATTACTCTTGCTTTGGAAGGGCTTGCTGGGAGTTCATTTTCCTGGCTTCTTACATGATAGCTAATCTGCTAATCATACACTAGAGAACAATGGAAAGTCCCCGAGTAGAAGAGGAGGCAGTTTGGGCCAGAGCTGTCAGCAGAGTGAGTATATCAAATGAGACCATCACACCTCATGCTTGGAAGAATCATCTAGAATTGTCTCCCTCCTCTTACAACTGGAACTTGTCCAACTCATGCAGCTGAAGTTGGTGAAATGCTCACTGGCCTTTCAAGCCTGCCTCAGAGTAGAGCTTGAAGATGGCAGACTGCCCTGAGATGAACTTGAAAGGCAGACCATGCAGGGCAGAGAGGTGAGGTGGTCTGACCAGAGGTGCGATCCCAATTATCAACCCTAACTGGCACAGTGCCTAAGATGCAAGGAGATTACAAGTATCATTGTCTAGGTGGCAACTGCTAACATGCTGTCAGTATTTAAAATTAAACTAAATCGACAAGGATGCGTTGTGATTGTGGCTAATACATGTTCATAAGAAGATTTTGGCCAATGGAGATAGGGCTACTTACAATTTTATTTTGTTTCCATGGATACATCCTACGTCTTACCTTGGCTAATCAAGCAGGCTGTTAGAAACATATAGGAATAAAAGTAAATGAAAAAAAAAAAAAGAAACATACTAGGATTGCATTGATTTCATTCATTCATTCACACATTTTTTCACTCATTCATCCATCAATATTCACGGAGCACTTCCATAGACCAGTGTTGTGCTCAGCCCCAAGGATATGCCAATGAAAAGACACAGTGCTTGTCCTCAAGGAGTCCACAGTCTAGAGATGCAAAAACCAGAACAGAAACAAATCCCTTTAATGTACATGATAAGGTGGTGAGGAAATGCAGAGAGAGACACCCTAGCCGGCCTGGAGATGGATGTCATGGAGGGCTCCTTGGATATGAGACACCTCAGACAAGTCCCAGGAGATAAGTAAACATTAATCAGTTCTGAGGAAGAAAGCCATTCCAGGCAAAGGAGGTGATGTTAGAAAAATCCTATTACTAAGAATTTTGATGGCCAAGCATCATTGTTAATGGAAGAATAGCCACTGAAGGAGACAGGGCCAAAAGTCACTCATCAAACACTGAGTAAGAAACTTCCCTGACGGTCTAGTGGTTAAGATTTTGCCTTCCAATGCAGGGGGTCCGGGTGTGATCCCTGCTCGAGGAGTTAAGGTCCCACATGCCTTACAGCCAAAAAATCAAAACATAAAACAGAAGCAATATTGTCACAAATTCAGTAAAGACTTTAAAATCAGTCCACATTGAAAAAAAAAATAAACTATTGAGTGAACACCTACTGCATACATAACTGTGGGTTAGGTGTGTGCATGATGTGCAGAAATGCACATGTTTTGTTGATCCTCCATGAACTTACAATCTATTGGGGGAAACAGTGCCTATAAACATCCCAGTGCATCACAGGCTTGTGTGTGACTGGACACCACACTGCAGACTTTAAGTCCCGTGAGCTAGTGTGGGAGAGTCACAACCAGTGAGGCTATGGGGACAGTTTCTCCTAGGCCACAGAGTCTAGTGTAGGCATTGACAAGGGTCAATCTGAAACAGTCAAGAAGGTGAAGGGAGTTAAGCTGCTGCAGGTGGGACAGAAGTACACGGGCGCAGATGGGAAGGCAGGAATCCAGGTTCATGTGAGGATGCAGTCTACCCCCTGCCAGAGGCAATGGAGAGCAGCGGTCCAGATCCTGGATCTCTGCACTCAAGCTGGGCAGTCTTGGCCCCGTCACCCCACCTTTCTGTGCTTCACATCTTCATGTCATGAAGCCAAATGCACGTACTTCACAGGGTTCTCCTCAGGATTTAGGGGTAGGTTTGTGAAATGCACTTATAGAAGTCCCAAGCTGTGTGAAGTGTGCAATAAGTGAGTTTTAGTATTAGGTGACGACTTCCCTGGTGGCTCAGCAGGAAAGAAGTGCCTGCAATGCAGGAGACATGAGTAGACACGGGTTCGATCCCTGCGTCGGGAAGATCCCGTGGAGGAGGAAATGGCAACCCATTCAAGTATTCTTGCCTAGGAAATCCCATGGACATCGGAGCCTGGCGGGCTACAGTCCATAGGGTCACAAAGAGTTGGACACGACTGAGCATGCATGTACAGTGCTTGGCAAATATGTATGTCATGTCAACTCAAAATGAATGGTAGATAAATTTTAACCCACTCAAGGATTAGCCCACTTCCTGGGTTTTCACTCCATCCTATAGGCAATGGCAAGCATTTGAAATTGTTAAAAGAGGAAATACTATATATATATATATATGTGTGTATATAGTAAATATATATACATATTAATATGCTTTAAGCAAAATAAGCTTGTAACAAGGTGTCAGAGAGCAAATACACAGAAATTCAAGTTGAGAAATCAATATCTGCAAGTGATGTTCAAGGCCTGGGTTAAACCGTGGGCTCTGTAAGGATGGAAGGAAAAGGGTGGGTTTGAGAGCAACGCCAAGGTCAAGCCGTGGTGCCTGAGGATCCCAGGTGGCGGATTCAGGAGCCTGGAGTCTGACATGAAGGCCATTTTGTTCAACAGCAGCTGGAGGTTCATACCTTTACATTATATGAATAACTTCTTTGGGTCAGAACATTAGTTTGATTCTGTATTAGACAAGCTCATGGGGATGATAAGGGACCAGCAGACTGGCAGGAGTATCCTGTTGGCAGCTGGGATCACACAGCTGAACTCTGGGGTGAGTCTGAGATTTGCAGAACGTTCATGGACCCTTAAAGAGGCCATCAGCTTATTTCCACATAGATGCATGTGACGTCTCTGCTGACTTCTGAGGTCTGAATCTAGAAAACTGATCCCTATTGAACCAGAACAATCGAGAAATGGTCAGGTTAGAATGGAAAGAAAAGTGGAAACCCCCTCCGTCACGCTCTTTGGATCGAGTTCCACGTTACTGTATTATGTTAAGGTATAATCTGGCTCTTACTGAATTTTAATTCAAATGTGTAAATAATTAAATAACATAAT